CCTGCCAGCTGTTCTGGGGGGCATCAGGGCTGGCTGGTGGGGGGTTGCCGCCACCGTGATCCCCCCACTTTGCCCTCAGGCGGAGGGGGGGGAACCCTACTGTTTGGGCAGCCCAGGCATGTTCACCACCACCACAAACTTCCCTGGCAACTTGGGTACACGCAGCCTGGGCCACACAGCCAATCACCACCCGCCCTCTTGGCAGCGCATGCGCAGTTGCCCAAAAACATTATGGATGGACCGACACACAGACAGACAGACTATGCATTTTATTATATTAGAATTCATACCAGTCTTGGCAAGGAGTTTGACAGGGATATTCCCACTGGATGTTTCCCCAGAGAATAGGATGTTCATGGGATTATCCCCTCCATGCTCCTTGTCACGATTCATGTACTACTCCTGATGGTTTTGTCTCAGGGGTAAGTAAAGACCAATGGATTCTGAGGAAGGACACCAGTGCAACTTCGTTGCGTTTTAAGTAGATGACTGATGGTACCAGTATCCAAAAATATGTACTTTATTTCATATAAATATATACAATCAATACACTGATATTTTATACATATATATAATATATATTGCATACAATTTCATTATTATATAATATTGAGTTTGTGTGTATGTCTATAAAATAAATCTCAGGCTTATTTAATTAAGTTCTCCAGGAACTGGAGACTCCCCAGCCAGCTATCCCATGCTGGACGTGTCCCTGTATAAACATTAAAATTACTCTCTCACAATCAGACAAGCTCTTATTCTAGGTTTTCCCTGACTCCTGGAAAAGCACAAATATTTTATTATTGAGAGATTGGTTAAACAACTTGCTGAGGTACTTTGTTTTCAGTGTGCCCTGGAGGAACAGAGGCTCCATGCAGCAACCGTGGTATTTGTGATGATAGAATTGATGGGTCAGGACAATGCAGCTGCACCACAGCTTTCATTGGGACAGCGTGTGAGCTTTGTGTACCAGGCAGATATGGGCCAGAGTGCAAAGGTACAAACTAAAAGTGGATAACAGTAAATTATGTTAACCTGTTTACAAGCAATGCTAATCTCTGGTACACCAAACAGGCTCTGCAGCTAATATAATGGGGAACTGAAGAGCAGTTTGGAAAGACCGTATGATGACGGTCTTTGCATCTCGAGTAGAGCCAAGGAGGTGATCCTCCCCCTCTACGTGACGCTGGTCAGGCCACAGCTGGAGTATTGTGTCCAGTTCTGTGCGCCCCATTTCAAGAGGGATGTGGACAACATGGAGAGGGTCCAGAGGAGGGCCACCCGCATGATCCGGGGACAACAGGGCAGACCCTACAGTGAGAGACTGCGGGACCTGAACCTATTCAG